ATCCGTACGATTTCGACCCGTCTCAGGATTCGGGGCGATCGGCGGCGTTTCTGCCGCCAAGGAAGGAAGGGGATGAGTTTCGTAACTCGAAGAAATTGAAGGTAATTGGAGTCGGTTCAAGGGCCTCCGATGAAAATTCTTTGCAAGAATCGAAGAAATTCGGGATTTTGAGGATTTCTGGTGAAGGGGGTTCGCAGAGATCGAGGGTGATGAAGAAGGTCAATACCGATCCTTTTGATTATGATTCATCACAAGAGGTGGACGATTTGGGCGTGCCGCCTCGGAGGAAGGGGGGGGGGAGGATAGTGTGTTTGAATTTCCCGAGGATGGGGACTTGTGGGGATCGAGGAAGTCCAAGAACGTTGATAATGGTTCTTATGGCTTCAACTCGTCTCAGGAGTTGAGTGACTTGGGTATTTCTCAGTCAAGAGATCCCGAAAGTCAAGGTGATGGCTGGGATCTTGGTGGGGATTTTGGGAAATCTAGGAAAAGGGCCAGGGGTGAGGTTAATCCAGATCCATATGATTATAATTCATCGCAGGAGTTGGAGGAACATGTGGTTCCACCTCAAAGCAAGGTCAGGGATGATAAGGTTTTTGATTTCACAGAGGATGGGGATTTATGGGAATCGAAGAAGTCCAAGAATCTCGATCTTGATTCATTTACGTTAGATTCCTCTCAGGAGTTGGGTAATTTGGGTACTTCTAAGTCGAGAAAACATGAAAACAATGGTGATCATCGGGGTTTTGGGGGGGTTTCTGGAAAATCTAAGAAGAAAAATATGGATGAGAATGGGAAATTGCATAGGAAAAAGAATAAGAAAAAGATGAAGTCAAAGGAGTTGGAGCCAAGTTATGTTGAGCTTACTGCTACACTTATGGACTCAAGAGTCTGGGGAGATGATGGAGCATGAAGATGAGGTGAATTTTGCATTGGATGGGCTGAAGAAGGGGCAACCAGTGGCAGTTCATAGGGCGAGCCTTCTGTCATTGCTAACAATTTGTGGAACAGCGCAGCAGAGGCGGCTTTTGAAAATGCATGGGTACTTTATGTTCAATTCGTTTTGGTAAAGCCCATCTTTATGAGGATAAATGTTCAGTGGGATAGTATACAATCATTTTATTTTCTTGGAAAATGGGTCTTTATAGTATGAGATAAAGAAATTCTGTGCTTTAATGGACAGAATTTCCATTTTGCTCAACATTTTCAATGTTGAGTTGAGTAACTATTTACTGAGTAAGCTTTCTATTTTGTCCAACCATGAAGGTTGAGAGTTTACCTTTCTGATAGGAAAGTGGGAGGCAAATCTGGTGAATATGCTTTTATATCAAGTGGTGCTTAAAAATTTGTGTTTATTACTCCTTGTATGTGATTGAGCTATTTTTATCATTAGGTTTTGAAACTCTTCTATTTTTTCTTAGGATGGCGGAAATTATCCTCGATGCTGTTTTGGGACTCAATTTTGATGATATGCCATGTAACGTTGCTGCTGCAGCTTTAGTTTATGTTCTGACGGTTGACGTGAGTTATTTTAAGAACATATTTTGGGGTTGATAATATCTCTGTTTTCTTCACTGCCATTCCAAGATATGTATTTCTCCAGCCTCGCACCAATTATTATATGAAATTTTCATTATTTCAGGGTCGAAATGATCATCTTCTGGATTCACCAAGCTGCATCCATTTTCTAATAAAAATGTTGAAACCACTTTCACCTAGCGTTGTCAAGGAAAAAGCTCTACCTGTTGGTAGCAAGCTTCTAAGCCTGTGCAGGAGTGTCGGTTTGTTACAGGAACCAGCCAAGGGAACAGATTCTAGCTCTACTGCAATCATGCTCCAGGTTCGGGAGATCCTTGTCAATTGCAAGGAAATGAAGTCAAGAGATGACAGTCATGGTGGGGTAGAAGAACCAGAGTTGAATCCTAAATGGATTAGTTTGCTTACAATGGAGAAAGCGTGCTCATCTCGTATCTCTATTGAAGGTTTAGAACTCGTTTTACTTAACTTATGTGTAATCTAGTATCATCAGTTGAGATTGTTTCTTATGATCAAAATGAATCCTTTTGATCTGCATCTATTTACTCGTTTTGTGACTTTGCAAAATTCGTAAATTCA